CGGGGCTTCATCTGGTCTGGTTTGGTTGGTATGAGGGGTTTGCTCACAAGCACAGCAGTGTGCTGGCCCCAGGGCTGCCCCTGTCCTGGTGGGTACAGGGTGGACAGAGCCTTTGGCTGGGTCAGCTGGTGCCATTGCTGCGGCTGCACTGGCCTTCCCTGGGTATTTTGCCCTGTTTAACCAGGTTGCAGCCCCTGAGGAGCACGGGCCATGGGGGAAACAACCCCAGAAAGGGTCAATGCTGGAGTCAGTGTCAGGGTGGGGGTGTTGCCCTTTCCATGGGAAAGTCTCTGAATCCAGGCCAAAATGTTTCTCTGTCTCCCTGTGCCTCCCAGGTGAAGGTGATGGGGATAACAAAAGCTTCCTGAGCCCCCATTGCTTCCTGCCCACCTGGGGATCAGACAAGCCCTTAAAGCCAGACCCACAGACACTGCACAACCAGTTCCTGCAGAGGTTTCTCTCTTCCTCAGCCACCCATCCCACGGGGACCCCCACAGACCAGCCCTGGCTCTCCCTGCCCCCTCCAGCACTGCCCTCATCGCCTCAGCGACGCGCCACAAAGTGCCAGGCGTTTCTAAAAACATCATTTATTGACTCGAACAACTGCCCCTACAGCAGCAGCGTTTCCTGCTCAGATGGTGGTGGTGTGGCTTTTTTAATTTTTATTGTCTCCTAAGGTACTTTAAAATGGAAAAAAAATATTAAATGAGTTTATGGTACTGAAACAACAGTCGAATTAACTACAAGGGGGCCCTCATTGTAATCCCTTCACAGCGAACGGCACAGGGGGAGTAAGGGAGGCTGCACCATGACACGGAGGAAAACCGCAGGGTGCTGCTGACTGGCTGTGTGCAGCCCTGCGCCTTCTCCAAGGTGAATTCCAGCACAAGGACCACTTGCCATCCCCTGCAGCCATCACCCTCCTTGGCCACTGCAGCCTGTGGTGAGGCTCTGCTTGCTCCAGGTCAAAGACAAGGCCAACTGCCAGCCAGGCTGGAGCTTCCCGGTTCCCACTGCAGGGCTGGCCCTGTGGCATGTGCTGCTCCCTAGTTTAGGGCAGACACCCTGGAATAACAGGCCCTTTTCGCTCCAGGTGGTGGCTGGGTTTGCCTTTGGGATGCTTCACTTTGTTAAAGCTGAGCAGACAGAAAGGTCAGTAGTAAGCAATAGGAAAACAAACTGAGTAATGTAATGCTACAGGAGTAGCTTCAAGCTCCTGGGTTAATAATTACTGCTGGAACTACAGGAGTTGAGAACACAGTGTGCGGCTCAGCTGTCGGAGAAACGTGTTGGAAAACATGCATCACATGCTGATGATGAAAGAGAGTTTGGAACACTGGGAGAGGATAACAAGCACCTACAAGCCGAAACGTGTACAGCTGCAGATATGCAAGAGCTGGAATCCCATTGCCATCCGTGACAGCTGGAGAAACCGAACCACTGACACACAGAAACTCACGCCAAGCAGAAGGTAAACTGAGTGCTGGCAACCACAGCAACACCCTGGCTAACATGGGGAGGGGGCAGTTTGTAACCCAGAAGCAGAGGGTTAAGGGCAGCAACCCAACGGGCAGGAGGATTTGGATCATTTTGTCTCCTGCAGGGCCCAGCACATCCCTTCCTTCTCCACAGAGAATGTAACAAATGGCAAAAACCGTTCACAGGACACCGTTCAAATGAGGATCAGATGAAACACACCATGGGAAAGGGAGAAACATGCAGCATCCCTAAATGTAATGGGAGCAGCATGACGCCCAAGCGGGCAGTCCCATCTGAATGCACCACCCAGGCAAAACCCAACAGCTTTTTAAACCGTCTGCGAAACTGAAAACAAGGGTCTCCTCCTAATTAGTGTTAATTTGTTAAAAGTATCTGGACACTTCCAAAATGTGCCTTTGCAAGAATCACACCCCCCAACCCATCACCCCAAGGGCCCCAACAAAGGAATCCGCTCCTGATCACTGCTAGAGTCATGGTCTGTCTTCAAAGATGCTTTGCTTTTTCCTTCTTATTCCTCTTCCTCTTCTTCCTCTTCTTCCTCCTCTTCCTCTTCCTCATCGTCATCCTCATCGTGGCAATGTGTGATTTCCTGAGGTGCCTGGGGGAAGAGGTTGGGCGGTTTGATCTCGCTGATGGAGCGGGTCAGTTGATGCCGCTTGTAGTCAGAATCTTTAAAATCCACTGAGGTGCGATTGCGTGTGGCCATCGGCGACTCCTTCTCATTGATGTCGACGTGCGTGTGCTCTACTGTGGACTCGTGTGGCATCTACACATGCAAGAGACAGAGAGGAGATGGAAAAGGGTGTCCCAGTCCCAGGGTATCTCCCTGAGACAGATGGAGAGCAAACCCCAGAAGGTGCCTCAAACACCATCCAACCCTCCAAGGCACCATTCCCACTGCTTGAAGTTTGTGGAAGTGTTAATTAACACAAGCACAGGCACCTTTGGGAGCCTTACCCATCTCCCCAGGATCTGCAACTCACCAGGACATGGGCGGCTCTGAAGAGGTAGCTGAAGGGGTAGTAGAGGAGGTTGATGAAGGAGGCTGCATAGAGATCAGCGTAGCGCATCACCTGGCTGGCAAACAGGGTCTGCCGAGAGCCGCTGCGGAAGAGGCTCCCCATCATCCCGTAGCACATGTCCATGTCGTGGGTCACTTTCTACAAGCAAAGGGCAGGTCAGATCCTGGGCCGGGCAGGCAGCAGCGCGGTGCCACAACAACACAAGTGGAGCGCACCAAGGGCTGGGGGCTACAAGAGATCTGCAAGGATCTGCAGCAAAGCTTTCTGTGCTCGTATCCTGCGGGACCAGAGCAGAGCCGAGTCCCAGCTAACAGAGGGGAAGGCAGCAGCGGGCTCAGGTCCAGCACCTGCCCCAGGCTGGCACCCCAGGGCCAGCTGAACCAGAGGCTACAGCCCCTCCAAGCATGTGTGTGCCCACACCCTGTTCTGCAGCAGTGAGCACCGTCAGTCAGTGATGCTGCGTGCATGAGGGAGGAGACCCTATTCCAGACCAGGCTGCCTTTCAGGAGTGCCACTGACACCAGTGAGCTGAGGAGCTCCTCCCTTTGCATCTGCACAAAGACATATCAGCTTTGCCAAGCCTGCTGTGCCCACCCAAAGGCAGAGCAAAGCATTTCAGGGCTGAGCAGTGGGGTTGGGTTGTCAAGCCCTTTGGGATCCAAAGGGATGAAAAGGGATTTTGATGATTGGTACCTTAATGCGTCTCTGGATGGAGCTGATGTCGGGGCGTTCATTGCTGCTACTGTCCAGATGCCTAGTTACAGGCGAGAAGGTAAACACATGGTGTGAAAAGCCTTTCAGAACCAGATGCTGTGGGATGGGGGCTCAGGGGAGGGAGGCTGGTCTGGAGGGGAAGGTTGGTCTCATGGGCAGAGCCCAGGCCTGAGTCAAAGCTCCAGCAGCAGTGCCACTAACCCAACCCCAAGGTTTCATCAGAGCTGCTCAAAAGCTGTCACTAGGCTGGGAGAGGCAGCAGAAAGGTTGTCACTGTTTGAACACTCACTTGTACAGCTCAGCCAAGAAAATGTCCAGACTCTGTAGCTCTTCAAAAAGGGCTGGAAAATCCAGAAAAGAAGGGGAAAAGGCAAGTTAAACTGTTGAAATGAACAGGGTTGAAAGCAAACACACCATCCTGCCTGCTCTCCTTGCAGGGCGGTGGAGGGGCACCGCATCAAGGAGCATGGCATCTCACAGCAACTAAGCAGGGAGAGGGTTCAATCACACTGTGCCACTGGCAGAGCTTTGGGCTTGGTTTCTGGGTGCTCCTTTTGTTTTTGAGGCTGAACCTTTGCAGCTCTCACCAAAACCTTTCAACCAGCAACTGTAAATAAATATGCAACTTGCATAATCCCCAGACCTATTTACACACCAAATGGCAAACCTGAGAGAAAAGCTGTAGTGCTGGAGGATGGGAAACTGGCAGCACTTTGGCAGCAGAGAAGCCACAGCTCCAGGGTTATGGATGAGGAACAACTCAACCCCACCCAGCTGCAGCTTCTCCCCGGCCAAGTCAGCACTTGGCTGATAACAGGCAAGTGGCCTGGAAAAGAGCACAGGAAAGGCCTTGGGACCCCAAGGCCAGCCCATGGAGAGCTGCCCCAGCTCCTGCCACCAACACCCAGACCGAGGGAAAAAGAGCCAAAAGGAGAAGCTGTAAGCCAGCGTGATCTCTCCCCTTGCATTCCTATGCCTTGGTGATCTCAGGGGCACAGCACCAGGCAAGCAAGAACAAAGCCCGGCCTGGGGTTTCCACATACCACTTTTGTCTGTCCAGACGTGCAGCTCCTGTGCCAGCTCGGGAATCACCAGGAAGGTCCTCCAGCCCTGGCGCTTCTTGGATTTGAGGATGTCTCCAAAGATATGGTCTCCAATGTACAAGATATCCTTCCCTTTGGCCCCCAGCAGGTCACAGACTGTGTCTGAAGAGCCTGAGAGAAGAATGGTGTGGCTCAGAATAGGGGACCAAAAGGAAACACGTGGCTCATTTCAGAGGGCCAGGGTCAGGAGTAGAGCACATGCATTTTCCTCACATAAACCTCCACTGCTAAACGTAGCACCCCTGCTTGGCTGTGGCAGCACAAGGCATTGCCTACCCACTGCAAAGTTCACCCAGGAGCAGCTTTGCCAATGCACAGCCCTCCATGAATGGCAGCAGCAGAAGGGCCATGCTGCCTCCCACCCCAGCAATGGAACCCTGGGCATCACAGACTCCCTTCTCTGGCTCAGGGGACCCTCCAAGCTTGGTCACACTGGTGGCAGCATTGTAAGTACAGCTGGAAACGTTGCACTGGGCCATCTGCAGCTCCTCCTCCACCACAAGCCCTGCAGTGGCATTTCCTGACTTTCCCTGGCAAGGAAGAAAAGGGCGTTTGAGGAGGAATGGGTCCATTCTTCCCTGCCACTGGGGAGCAGTGATGTTGGAGAGCTTCTGGGGCAGTGTGCTCAGGACACAGTACAATGTGCCTTGCAAAAAACAACTTGTCTAATGCCTGGCACAAATGCCCTCACAGCCAGAGTGGTTGAAGGCCCCGAGGGCCTGTCAGAGCCACTCCACAGAACAAGAAGGGGTTTTGCCTCACCTCCTGAGTACACGATGCCGTGCTGCAGTGGGCCAGTGTAGGTACCAATCTTCAGCTTCCCAGTCACCTGAGAAAGCAGACATTGTGTTAGTACAGAACAGCTGATGGTTTGGATCTTTTGTGCCCTGCTGATACTCTACTCTTCGTCTCTCTCACTCCCAGGCAGCCTAGAGATAGCTTCCCACATTCTTTTCCTATTGCCATCTGTGGTATGTTAAGGAAGACAGCAAAGCCTTGAGCTCTGCTGCACTCCAGGTGATGGGGTTGCTCAGGAAACATTAAGAGTAGAAGCCAGCCTACCATCTGTGGGGCAGGTCCTGTCTAAACACTGTGCTGCCTGTTCTCACTAAAAGGTGCCACACAGGAGGTACATGAGCCTTTCCAACTCTAGAGATACCCTCCATATGCCACTCACCGTGTCCACCTGCCTCAACACGGTGCCTTCCCCAAAGAAGAGGGGTTTTCGTGCATCCACCAGGATCAGGTCGAAGTAGGACTGCCATGGCCGATGGGCACTCCCAGGCTGCAAAGGCAAAAACCAAACCCCACAGTCAGGCACAACAATCAACCACAGGGAGTTTAAGTGGAGTGCCATTGCCCATAGCCATTGCTGGTCCACCAAAATCCCCTGGCTTGTGCCTCTTGTGATACAACGCTGGGTTGCCAACACCATCTCCTAAAGCACTCCCCTTTTGCAGCAAGCCCATCCCAACCCAGCCTGGCTGTGAGGACTGAGGACGTGGTGTGAGATTGGAGAACTGCACTGAACATCCATGTTCCAGCACAGCTGTTGTGTAAAGAGATGCTGTAAATGAAACTGCTGCCACTGTTTCTCAAGGAGAAATCCTGCGTAGATCCAGACACATGCGGCTTCACACTTCAGCCTTACAAGGCCATGCTGGTACATTTGCCAAGGGTGGGAAAATGCCTGGACTCTATTCTACAGGGCAAGGCTTTGAATCACAGCCGTCCCCAAAGGACACTGCATTCATAAACCCTTTCTGCTCCACACTTCCCCTCTTTCAGAGATCAGGACCACAGCAAGGAGCTTTCTGATCTATGAGTTGTGATTTTTCACATTCTGAAAATTTCTCGCCACCTTTTACCTTTAGAGCACAGAGTGAAAACACACCTTTTGCATGGTGAGAGAGCCTCCCATTGAGAGATTGAAGCAGCAATATAAATTCAGCCCAATAAACTGCTCTCCAAAAGTTGCAGGGCTGAGTTTGAACCTCAGAAAACTAGAAAAAACAAGACTAAAGTTTCTGGAGTTACCATAATCAAGACACATAAATGTTTCTGCTGCAGTGTGCAAGATTTCTAAGAAACCTGGATGCAAAATGCCACAGTTAAAATGTGTTATCACTAAAATAATGTTATCATTAACACAGATTATCGTTTGAGACCAGATGATGCCTCTTTTCTCTTTGTTATGTTGTATTTGCTTTGATCCCATTCAAATAGGACACAAACCAGCAAGTGTATTTTAACTAGATTAAAGCAACTAATCCCACACAGTCGACGAAGCAGGATTAAAATGCTTTCCAGCTACACAGATAATTAGGCACATCAGCTTCTACTGGAACTGCAGTCCAGAAATCACATACCTTTGGTCCATGTGGAAAGTCAAACAAGTAAGTCATAATTTTCTGAAAGACAGAAGGAAAGTTTTCAAAGATGTGTTTTTAAACTTACATTTATATAGTTTATGAAAGCTAAAATGAATGGATGGACTTTCAAATAACAGGAATTAACCCAGTAATTTTTACCATGAAAGAACACATTTGCCTCAGAAATCTGCACACTGCTTCAGGTATATTTGCAATGCTTTAAAATGGCATACAAATCTTTGCACTAGCAGTGTTGCAACATCCTGACATCTATCTGGAGTTGAAGTAAGTACACTTACTGCTGCAGCACAGCCAGACAGCCCTCTCTGGCTCTTAGACTTCTCGAGGCCTCAAACTGCACCAGGGGAGGTTTAGAATGGATATTAGGAAAAGTATCTTCACAGAGAGGGTGCTCAGGCATTGCAACAGGCTGCCCAGGGCAGTGATGGAATCACCGTCCCTGGAAGTGTTCAAATACCATGTAGACAAGGCCCTCAGTGACATGGTTTAGTGGTGATCTTGGCAGTCCTGGGGTAATGGTTGGACTTGATGATCTTAAAGGTCTTTTCCAACCTAACTGATTCTATGATTCTATGACCATAGCTTTGGTGACCTGAGGTCACCTAGTCTAGTGACCTCATACTATCTCACTTGAAAGGGAAATTCTGCATTTTAAAGGATGCTGAAATCTAAAATGAGTATCACTTTCTCTTTCAGCCTTTTAATTGCTGAGGAACTGAGTGAGGCACAGAGGGACTTAAGCCAGGCCCATACTAGGTCAGCTGCAGAACCAGACCTACAAAAAGATCACTCAAGACCTAATATGCATTCACGACTAAACTATCCTACACCTAGCTTAGAAAACACTAATTCTCCATCAGATATCCTACCAAAACCCACAAAAATGAATGGCTGACTTTTGCTTATTCCATTATATACCAACACAACAATTCAAGCAGCACTTACATCTGTGTATTTATAGTCACTGTTTGTGACAAGAAACACCTTTCCAACTTCATTCATGCGGCTGAGCAGCAGTGGCAGCTTCCCCTGAAAGCCAAGGGACACACAAGTCAGACGCGAAAGTTACAGAGATTCATCATGGGCAGAACACTTTCAACTATGAACCCACCAGGCAAAACAAACTAATCAAACAAGCAAGCAAACTCACATGTTTTGCATTGGCCAGAGCCAGGAAAGCTGCTGGTCCATCCACTTCACACCCCTGCAGAGCACAGCCCAGGGGAGGAAGGTGAGAGGGAAGGACTCAGCACCACCTGGTTGGGGTGCCTTTGCCAACCACAGTGCCAGGCACCCTGTGCTGTTCCCACCGATCTGCTCCATGCCAGGCACGCTGGAGCAGCTCCTCCAGCTCCAAGTCTGTTCCCAAAATGGGCCCAGAGGCAGGTGAAATCTGAGCGCACACGAGCCACAAGTTGGAGCGCATTATAATTCCAACCTCAAATTAGGGAGAATTTATTCCTGGGGCTATTTTTATTGAATCATAAATCTCAGTCCATTGACAGAGTAGTTGATTACCTCACAGAACGGTTTCCTAAGAATCCTACAGGCATGTAACTAGAAACAAGGTTAACTGCTTTAAAGGGATAGTCCACCACACAGCTCATCTAAACTAGAGAATAATTATTCTGTAAGTGGTCCAAAGGGGCCTTGAGAGGGCAAAAGTAAGGGAAGCACTACAGCTTCCTCAATTGCATGTGCTTTATAAACATTTTTGGGCTATCAAGAGACTGGACATTGGTGACTCTTTCAGGAGCTTTCCCTTAGTCTCTTATGGTTAAAGACATGTACTATTTTTGTTGGATGGATAAGGAATACTTCTGTCTAAAAAGATGCTCATTCCTTTTTTAAAAAGAGGAATTTTTTCTCTTGGGCAGAGAAAACATGGGCAAGGAACACAGTTGCTTTCACCACCAAAAGAAACCACATGACCCCTGCCAGTGTATTCACCTGTGTCCTGTGATAACATTTCCTCTGGCTTTTATATTTCACATAAAACACGTGCACATGAATATGAAATCATGTGGATCACTGGTTCAGAATAAAGGCTGCATCCGAACTTTCCACTTTGTCTTTGGTTCTTACAATAGAAATCACAGTGTTATCTGTTTTGTGATGTAGTAAAGCAAATCAGCATGTTTATGTCTTGCCTGCCTACTCACTACAGAATGTCATATAGCACAAGTAAAGTAACTTCACACTTACATCTTTCACCACATACTTTTCCAGATTCTCAAGGGTCTTTTCCTTAAGTGATCCCTGAAATAGAAACAACAGAACCCAGTGAGGTAATGGAAACTTATGATGTAAGAGACATCAAAGTAATGCCAACTTTCACACTTTAAAATGCTGTGAAAGTACAAACCAGGGCGAATCTGAACCAGTGACTCTAGAGATGAGAGGCTTTGAGTAGCAGGGACCATCACAAACTCTGTGATCCATCGATTCCCTCACCATGGTAAATAATCCACTTCAACAGCATTTTAACCCTTTCAGAAGGGAATACAATAGAAACAAACAAAAAATAGATTTGCCATACCAAACAAGACAGTCAAGGACCTGTCTCCAACACTGACCATAATGCTTTACTGAAAGGTCAACTCCAACATGTATCACACAACACTGCATAAGGAAAGAAAAATAGATTCCTGACTTCTGCATGGATAAAAGGACCACCACAAGTACAACTGTGAGCAGAGTTCTCCTGTGATGGTTCTCCATCCCACCCCAACAGACCTTGTGAATGAGGAAGAACAAGAATATCAGGTCTTTAACCAGATGTTAATGCTCACTAAATCAGATTCTGAATTTGCACCTAAGTGTATGAAAAGATGAACTGCCCTTCTTTTCTAAATAGGGAAGAGTTGATGTATTTCTGGTTTATGCAGGTACTTTTCAGATAATGTAAGACAGTACCAATGTAAATCACTTACAGTAAAATGCTGTTTTAATCCATGTACAAGTTGTGGACTTTTAGTTCTAAAACCCATTAACTGCAGTGCAGAAATGGAACCTGGGCACAATAAAAAGGAATAGGAAGCCAAGACAGAAATGTTCCAGTACAAGGAGGGCAGTCAAGATCTTGACTTATATACAACTGCAATTTATTATTCGCTCACTAGGCGGCAAAGCGGGGCTCTTGCCCAAAAGTGGAATAATAGACCTTAACTCATGAGCTGCAAACCAGTCCCTCTAACTGAGTTACAACTACAGACATCCCAATGAATTCCCACAATCACCTTGTAATGAACCCAGTCAACAGCATCTCTGACATCCTGGAACATACTCCTGAAGGACATGAAGAGGTCTCCATCTTTAAACCCTGTTTCACAGCTGTGAGGAGAAAGAAGAGAGACTGTAGTGGTCAGTCAATCACAGCAGGTAAGAAACACATCAAGGAGAGAGACAGTTCAAAATGTTGTTTGGAGCCTGTGTTTTCCTCTTACCATAATGGATTCTTATTTACTAATTTACTGTGGCTCAGACTTGAAAAAAGGCTCCAAGAGTTTAACAGGATCTGCATGTTATCCATACCAAGAACATTTCTTTGAAATGGATAGGATGTGGGTTCCTAACTACGGGCCTGTGCCTCCGTAGCAGTATTACAGCCTTCCGTGACCCGCAACTCTTATTTCTCCACCGCAGCACTACAAGAAGGAAAAGACTGGGACTGTGCAGTTTGCAGCATTTTACAGAAGATGAATGGTAAAGTAAGCAGTCCCTCTTTCCAACATTAAAGAAGGGGGTGCCAGGGAGATCAACTACATTTAACACTTGCTGCTGAGAAGAAGGAACTACTTCTGTGTTGTATAGAGTTAACATAAGAAATTTTCTCTGCAAGATACTGTGGAGGTATCTTTGAGACATCCATGAGAGTCTGCATCAGAAGAAATCAAGGAGGATTAAACAGAGCTGTATCTATTATGACAGCAATCATCATGCCTGTCATAAGAAGGGATACTTCACCTGATTGTTGGCATAAACAGTTCCCCTGCTCCCAGGTAAAATCCCATTAAACCCTTTGGTTTCCACTCATAATATGCAAAGATGACCCATCACATGAGTCAGCAGCACACCAACATTCACATTTTCCAGTTCAAACCACAGCCTGTTTTTATGCTTAACCTATTTGAAAACAAGGTACTCATGTTGCACAAACAGCCTTTTACAGCACAAGGTGCCTGAGCATTTCACCTTTAAGTCCTCAGTTACGACATAAGAGACTTGTGGCAACAGACTGAGGAAACTGAGCCTTTCGGTTACCAATTCAAACATGGCTCCACTGGTCAGAGGTTCAAAATGAGCTGTCTGGTGCCTGTAACGACCCTGTAACACGTGTGTGGTCTTAGAAGCTGGCCCAAATACCAGTGTCAGTCAGTATTGTGATACTGATATATGCTGTGAAGGAAACCCTCATAACCAGTTTCTGCTGTACACACAGATCATCTTGTCACCCCTAAATTCTCTTCGTGTCAAAAGAATAAGAGGCTTGAACTTTTCCCCACTGAAACCACTTAAGGGGCCTCTACTGAAATTAAGAACAGCTCCATCTGTGCTGAACTGCTCTTTATAATAACAATCTTACTGCACCATCAGCACCTCAAACCAGAGGGAATACATACCTAGTGTACCGGTCACAGTTAGTAAAGAAATCCACTAGGCAAGCCAATAGGTAGGTCTCTGCAAAGAAACAAAGTAAGATTTTAAAACAAGGATATCCTCATACAGCCAGCTAAACAGATAAACAGGGTATGACATTAGCAAAGCTTTTTTGGCTTCAAAAGCACGGAAACAGACCTGTGTTGGCTCACATTAGACTCACCTGGTAGATTGAATAACGTGTTCAGAATGTAAAACCTATCTGTGTCATCCCTCTGGATAAATTTATTTGGATATTGATCCCGTGTTTCAGGCCTGAGAATAGATAAGGTGGAGAAAAATGAAATCACAAAAAATAATGAGCACAAAATATGCTGACCTGCAAAATAGCAGGGTCCCTTAACTAGAGGCTGTTGTGCTTTAATTGACACCCAGCTTTCCCACATGCATTAGTGGTGCAAGAGCAAAACTACATCCACTGTGCTGGCTCAGGCAGAGCAAGGCACAAAGCCCTCGTTGCTGAGTCAGCAAACTGATCAGAGCCCACACAGGGAAGCAAAGTGGTCAAGAGTCCACAACTTGACCTTCAGCCCCATGCTGCTGGCTATGAGGATGCCTTAAATCATCTGCACTTTCCGTGTTTGCTTATCTTAAACTTTCCCTCACTTTCCATGTGTTGCTTTACACTCCCTGGAGCAACTTTCAGCAGAGGAGTGCAGGGCTGTGCTATGGGAGGCTTGCCTGGGGCCCTCTGCAATTTATCACCAGGGTGCTGATGACTAAAGTCATTTAATTATTCTGGTTTCCTTCATTTCTGGGGCCTCTGAAGGTCACTGACTCAAAGAGGAACTTGAGTGCATAGAAGACAAGGACTTTTTCTAAATTTTGGCTTCATGATGCAAGGACTTACAGGCCTTTAATGACAAGGTTTGTCACCTTGCGGGCCCTGTGCTTGCCTTCCATCCATCCACCCTTGCAACAGGGATACGACGGGATTTGCTGGGACACATCACGCATGTAGCACTGAGGTCCCCTCTGCTACCTAAAGCGCCTTTTCTAGGGCAAGAGAAATGCAAGCAGCCAGGGAAGGCTGCAGGAAATGGCAGGCAACGCCTCACTTCTGACACCCTCAAAAGTCAGAAACACAAAGCAGTAGAGCAACTTTGTTCCTCCCCAAGCCAGCTCAGGCCCTTGAATTTTCTTAGCAATAGCTGTGGATTTGACAGTCTCATGGGGCACAGGTCACTTCTGCTCCCAGCAGCCCACATACAATGGCTTTGTCTTAACTGACCAGCTGATGATGTTAAACTGTGCCAGGATAGGTGAACAGCCCTGGATTATCCCGTTAACCCTTCCCCACAGTACATTTTCTTCTATTCCCAGCACACTACACATGTGCCTGTGCTGGCACGGACATTTCCCCTACAAACACCTTGGGCTGTTGCTGTGCCTGGGAACCTCAATTCATCCCCAGTCAATCCTAGAGCTATAGGAACACCCATACAGCATCTGCTGTCAGTGGAGTCCCTGCGACTCCTTATACAATGAGTGCCCTGAGGATCAGTGACACAAAAGAGCATATTAAGTCAAAAGAACAGCCAAGAGTCAGCACTTACCCTCTGAGGAAATTAAAGCCGTGTGCACACACTAGGAGATTCCCATAGGCATCAACTTTCAACAGGTTTCCATAGTGGGTATCAAACACCAGGCCTCTGTTAAGAAAGCGATTTAAGGTATGAAGAAGTGAACGTATTAAGCATTGACCATTTCAATAGCAGTTTGAACAGAACAGAGTTGTTGTTACTAGGCAGATGGGGTCCCTACTGTGCCTTTTACCTGGCTGCAGGTGAGCAACAAGAGCCCTGTGCTGTCAGGTGAAAGGTGCAATCGATCTGCTCTCCACAGACTTGAAAACAGAACCGTTTAACCCGGCAGAGGCTTAGCTATGCACATACCAGGGAGGACACGGGCCTCTTCCACAGGGTCACGAATCTGACTCCTGTGTTTGTGGTTCCCTGACAGTCCTGCTGGGCTGCAAGGGAGAGCAAGGTGTGATAAAGGAATTTCTCTCCTCTTTTTCAGACATGGACATGTAACTATTGAATAAAATGCTTTGGACGCTCCTGGTTCCAACTCCAGCAAAACGCTGTCTCACTTTGCATCTGGAGAATGGAGCCTTCCCACAGAGACATCCCTTCTGTTCCCACCCTGGGATGAAGGCAGTGGATTTAATGGAGTCTTCATCACAGGTTTGTGAAGGGCTACTGTCTTGTCACAGGCATGGGCGCACCCAGCAAGCGTCTTGGTATAAAACATGCTGAGAGGAGGGAAGGAAGGAGGCTGCCAGACTGAAAACTGGAACAGCAAAACAACAGACCCTATGGTCCATCTCTTCTAAAGAACCTCCAAAGGAGTCCAAAAAAGAAAAATCAGCAAAGGCACAAGAGGAAACAAAGGCACAGAGTAAGATCAAAAGGCTTGTTTAAAACAAGCAACGTCCTTTTTGCCACTGCTACCAAAAGACAAAATATAAGAATTTAGTAACCTGGCACCATTAATTTTGCTTTCAGTGTTTGACTGATCTACACAAGTCAACTTGATTGATGCCACTTTTATTATTGTTTACTGTCAGCTTAATTTTCAGGATGTCTTATGCACCAGGACACTATTAATTAAAATCATTAAAGACGAATGTTCTGAGGCATTCCATCAGGCTTATGATGGATAGTAACGGTTCCTTCACCCCTGGATTTTTATTTAACTCCCAGTCCAATTGTGTCTCTGCTGTCTTTGCTTTGAAAGTTATTTCTGGACCACGTTTTCAGCAGGCCTCTTTTCTTGCACACTCCTTTCCTGGCATGGATTCATGTGTTCAAAGGCCTTCCACAAACCAGAGCAGTCTGCTCCCTTTCCCATGATCTGTGGTCAGCCACAGGCTTCACAGGCACAATTCTAAAAACCTGGCCTCACGTGTTGCCTATGAACTTTACAGAATAAATACTTAGGCCTCGAGCAGGCTGGGTCAGTATCTGTTAGTCATTTACCTGGTAGGGAATGCAGGATCATACACAAAATTGAGCAGCTCATGAGGGTATCCAATGGAAACTAATCTTTCTACGGTCAGGTCAAATCCAAGAGATTCGTATTCAGGGGATTTATACACTGTACCAAGATGAGACTTCAGTTAGAAAATTTGAAAACAGCTAGGGGGTTAAACAAGAAGGCAGTTAAAAGTAATGTACCCGTTTCCCCTCCTCCCTCCTCCACATCACACGTTCCCTGTTCCCTTCTTCGCTCCTGCTCTTCGCTGCCTCAGGTCCCCCAGCCTGTAGCCACGATGAAATTAGCTCAAGCTCCAGGACTGCAGCTGAGCAGAGCCACAGTTCAGGTTTCGGCAGCAGAGTGCACCAGATGAAATATCCATCAGTCGATCACAGCTCTCTGCATCAGGAAGAATGTATTTCAAACTGCAGCTCCTCTCTCTGCAGTCCTGTTAGGCAGATGCATGAACGCTCCCTGTTCCACCTGCTTGGTTTTGGCTTGATGTGTTTTTGCAAAGCTGATGAAGAAACCAATAAATCTGGGGAAAACATGTATTCATGGCTAGAAAGCCTGAAATTCATCACTGCTGTGATACTGTTACTGCTCTGGATACAATCCCAAAGCTTAATATCCTCTTCAGATTTCGTCTCAGAGGAATTTATGTTTGCTGCAGACTAAATTAGCTTGAAGGTAGAGCTGTCAAGTTAACTTACGATTTGTTTGTTAATAATACCATATGGTACTGTAGAAATCTGTTTGCTGTTACCTTTATGTATCAAAATGCTACTCTTCTAAGCAAGCTTACTGTTCTTACATTTCAGAGAAGCTGCTCATCAGTGACACACACCTTAGCTCAATGCAAAAGAAATTGACTTGTTCAACTAAGTCATTCCTACCATCAGGCCTGTCTTCTTCCTGCAAATGACATTCCCATGTACTGGAAATGTTACTGCTTAATCAGATCATTAAATTAACATTTAAAAGGAAATGACTGTGTTTCTACAACAAACAGAAATCACTGTGTTTCTCTGATGGCATCTTTACATTTGCTGCATGTCTCTGTCTTAAATTGATCCTAAGATGTAACAAGGTCAAATATAATCTTCGTCTGCCATGAGGGTTACCAAGGGTTCAATGGGCCCCACTGTCACAAACACTTGAATACTTCACATTTAGCTAAGTGAAAATCAAAAATGTGCAAGTTACACAGTAAAGCTTAGTTAGAAGGCAGACTGCTTTTCCTGAGACAGATCTACCACATCTCTGGGCCTCACAATATATATTAATATACACTGTCTGTACTGCCCAGGTAATCACAACCATATTCATACTGTTGAATATAGAAGCTCAATCTGAGAGAAGAAAACAAATATATAAAATACTACAAAACTACTAAAAAGAAAAGGACTATAGAAGAAATGAGACTGCCAAGACTCAGATCACAGTAACCGTGACAGGGGCCTCATATATCTCTCAATCTAAAAAGCACCAGAACACTAACAGTTAATTTTCCCCATTAAAAACATAATAAGCAAACCTGCAATGTTCTTAAACAGATAATTGAAATCAATAAAAGTTATCAATTTCAATTCAAGCATTATTATACCAGTGGCAAACATCAACAACACGATATAACATTCAATGCACGTAGTCTTTTCTATCCTTTATGAAAGGAAGGGTTGATTGAGCTATTGATGGGAATAAGTAATCAGAAACTACAGCTAATGAAGAAAGCAGTGACTGACAAGGCAATTCTGGGGAGTGAGCTAGAGCTGGAGGGAGCAAAAGGCATTTAGGTGATGAACAACATTGTGAGAGTGACACCAGAGCATCATCTGGAAAAAGGAATTCCTCTGATACAGGATAGTAAAGGCACTTTCCAAGGAAAACAGTAATAAATACACCTGCACATACTCAGAAGGTGAAAGTGCTGCAAAGCTCCCCATTATGCCTGCAGTCCCCTTCTCTGTCCATGAAGCTGCTGCACTCTCCTCTTTAGCTTCCTGAGAATTTGACCATGTTACGAATTTACCCGTAAAACCTTCCTCCCGAACAAATAATTTGTCCAAGGAAATCCTGTTCTTTCTGAACTCACCAACCATGATGTTGCCCAGACATGAGGAATCTCAAGGAGCACACTGGCCTCTCCTCCGGACAAGCAGAAGTGGTTCATCAACAGCTCCAGCAGAACCTCTCCAGGGAAACAGTAGGGCTTTCTGTTAAACAACCTACGTAACTTGTTAACACTCCATCAGAGAATGGCTCTGGAGGGACATGTGGCCAGCTGCTCACAGAATGCCCTCACTCAATTCCTTCCTTTATTTCCCTCTCTGCCTTAGATTTATCACTACAGATCTCCTTTTAACTCTCTGAGTCTAAGGAAACAAGCTGAATCACTAGTAGGAAAGGCTGAAGAACATATCAACCCCAGTCTTCATCATCCCAACTCTCTGTTAAGGCAGCACTGCAACAGGATTAACCTGAATGCTTCTTGGGGGGGAGCAGCTATTTCCCTTATTTCTCAAGCTCTAGGTTTTTCTTCCGTGATGTCTCTTTCAATAAAATTAAACCTCTAGTTCATTCATGCCTCAGGTCCCTTCCCTATTTTTCTCCCGCTCCACAGTATCTGGAAAATGAGAGCTTTCTCCTTGATTCACAAACTAAACAGAGACGCAGGAAACTGGACTCCAGGAAACCGGAAAGGGACAATAACTGTTCTCCAGTTACCATCATACTTAGTATTCAAGATAAACTTTTCCATTAGACACACAGCTGGGAACAGACTGAGAGCTCACCGAGCCCACCTTGACAGCACCCTACACCACAGCTCATGCTGCATCCATCGGTATGAGCCACGATGTACTGACATTTCTCATAAACATACTGACTGTTTCAGTAACATGAGCTTCTGGGCAAACAAACAATCCACCTCCTTCAGATCAAGTATGAACAGGCTAACACTGCTGCAACTACAGCAGCACATTCAGGGAGGACGTCCCAGTTACGTGTATTACTAGATGAAAAAATGTATTTCAATACTGTACTCAGAGCTGGTTGCTCTTTCTCATATCTTGCTTACCACAGGCATCCATGAGGAAAGAGAGTAGAAAGGACAGATCAGTATGAAAAAGTAGTTTTAAACCTTCCTGGAACAGCTCTCTCCCTCAGAACTGGTTGCTGAGACCACAGCTTTATTTGCCATGGTGATGCCATGAATTCAGGTATTTGCCATGCAGCATCTCATGCTCAGCTCTTTAACCCAGCTGAGAAGGACCCAGTCTTCAAGCATCCCCAACTCTGTGACAGGTGAAGAGGCAGAGCCATGAACCCATTTTCAAAGCATCCTAACCCAAAGACAGTAAAACCAAAGCACATGCTACAACTTACTCTGATTTCTTTTTCCCTTTCCTACTATTTTATGGCCATGTCTCTGCCACCATGCCAAGTCCCCAGCTCTGGAGGACTACCTTATTTTAACAGTTCGTGTCCCAGCACAGGCAAATGCTTCAGTGGTGTGGGGCAATCAGCACCCAGCGCTCATGGATTATGCAACTGAGGTGGAAAGAAAACAACCAAGGGTTTAAAAAATCACAGAAGCCAGTTGACAGCATTTCAGCCTCCTCTTAATACCATCACTTGACTTAACATCATACTATTGAAAGGTAAAAAGCAGTACCCCGGGAGTGAATGTTGCAAGCCTTCAGGTCTGTGATGAGTGCAGGCGCCCCTTACACAGTACGTTCTAGGAGGGAAGCCGATCTGGAATGAGCAGGGGTTGTGCAGTAAGGTATGCAATTCTCATGCATTTGTGTGGTTGTTTTTACCTTTGCTGCCAAGACACAGTAACAATTTTATAGCTTTCCTGAAAAGGAAAAAAAAAAAAAAAAAGAAGGAAAAAAAAAATCTCTACAGAGGCTCCAGCTTATGCAAAATGCTGCTGCCAGGATTTTAACTCACATGAGGCAGATGCAGATTCAGAGTGTCACTCCAGTCTTGACGGAGTTACACTGGGCTCCCCTGTTAAAGAAAAAAATCAGACTGATTTTAAAACTGAAACAGCTCTGTGCCATGTGGGACTGTATCTGCTGGAGCTCTGTCCTCTGGTAAGCTCAGAAGCCGGCCTGGCAGCTATTCCAAATACACTTACAACTGATTTATAGAGAAGGCACAGTTGGTAATCGTGTACCCTGCAGGCAAAATTCTGTCCTCATATCCACAAAGCAGTCTTAGATCATCAGCTCAGTGATAATTAGGAGGAAGAGCCTATAAGCATATTGCCCAAGTGACACAAACCCTTTGAGTTTCTCTCAGGCGCAGAGTAAGCGGTTCAAGAAAGGGTCTCGTGCTCTTTTTGGGGCTTTGCCATTATTGTCCATTCCTCAGTCAGTGACAGATTACCCCTTTCAGGGCACTCACTTTCTTTCACACCACAAAATGCCTGCACTTCTCAGCGCAGGAGACTGGGGAGACTGAGTCAGGAGCTACTCTGGGAATCTGAGAAGAGAATTTTGCCCTACATCTGAAGGCACTGCTGGTGAGAGGCTCGCACATCAGGTCAGTCTGACATAGCATGTCTAAATTCAATTGTGTACTTTAACACGCTTATGCTGTGATGTGCAAAGCATTGCGGGATAAACCGGTACCAAACCTGCACAGAGTGCTGCACTGTACTGCAGTGCACTGGTCTGCAAGCACACACAGTAAGAAGACTAGACCTATGCTGCAACTTACAGATATGCACAGTGTAAGCAGGAATAACTTTGAGATCCAATCTGCTCTAAATACAAAGCTGGATGAGTTGGAATGATGCTGCAAAAAGGATCCACAGAAGTATGCGACCTCCTGGAAGGCTTCGCTGAAAATAAATGTTTAATGCCTGTTTTGTTTCAAAATGAATAGCTGGGGAAGGCTGTAGTGCATGTGATGGCTTTGTTTAAGCCGGAGAAAAGCCCCTCAAGCGCTGCCTGTTCCTTCCTTGTTCCTCCTCCACACACACAAAGATTTCAGACTCAGGCAGGGCAGCTTCTCGTTGAAGATGTAACACAGTTTGTTCCAGGGCTTGTTGACACTTCTTATAAGCCAGTCACAGTTCGTAGGAATAAAGCAGGAGCTAATGTTAA